GTGTTGCGGGGGGGGGGGGGAGAAGGGGAGGGAATAAGATACTAATGGAAAACCTGACTGACATCTGTGCTTTTGTTTCTCTTTGACTGAGAAGTGTCTTCCCTCCCACCCCACTTCAGCAACGTGGCCAGGGAACACGCCCCCGACTGTGAAATCTGATTGTTTGTGCTTTTCCCCTGTAGCACACAGATTTCACAGGGGAGTTGCGGGGGGGGGGGGGAGAAGGGGAGGGAATAAGATACTAATGGAAAACCTGACTGACATCTGTGCTTTTGTTTCTCTTTGACTGAGAAGTGTCTTCCCTCCCACCCCACTTCAGCAACGTGGCCAGGGAACACGCCCCCGACTGTGAAATCTGATTGTTTGTGCTTTTCCCCTGTAGCACACAGATTTCACAGGGGAGGGCATGTTCCTCACACGGGCCCTGACCCAAAAGGGAGCAGGAGGGGAACACAGTTATTTGGGGCAGGGGGGATTGTCACCACATTGCAGCCCTTACTTCTGGGCTACCTTAAAAAAGAAAACAGAGCAGCTGGAAAGTGGCAGCTGTTGGCCAGGTGCCCAGCCCTGAAGGCAGCATGCTGTCAGCTGGGGATATCACAGGTTAACCAACGGTCCTGATGGGCTGGAGGAGCTGCACCAGCCCAGCCCAGCCAGACCCTGCCCACCATGCGGCAGGCCCAGCCAGGCTGGAGCAGCCCCCTGCCGGTGGGATCCTGTTTAAGCAATTAATAATACAGGATTTTACATTGCTACCGCCAGCAGCAGTGTGCAAGGGAGGGTGGCAAGCCCATACTGTGCCCTCATCTCTGCTGCTACTGGGGGTGGCACTGTCTTCAGAGCTGGGCGCCTGGCCAGCAGCCGCCGTGCTCCAGCTGCCCAGCTCTGAAGGAAGTGCTAGCAGCAGCGCAGGAGTCAGGGTAGCAGTTCCACAGTCCCCCACGCAGTAGCCTTGCAGGCCCACCCCACCCCCAAACAACACTCCATTTTGGGTCAGAACCCCAACCGTTACCCCACCACGATGTTCCGATTTAAAGAGGTGAAATCACAACATGTGTGACTTTAAAAATCTAATGACAAAATGGACCATGCATTGGGTAGAGCCCTAGCCGTGGCCTTTGGTAGGGGGGCTCAGGGTTAGCGCTAGATCTTTGCAGGCGGTAGGAATTCTCCCCTCTCCCAGTGCCATCTCAGCTGCACAACTTACTCCCTTCGGCAAGAGCCACTGCTTTGCCCACAGCCCTTGCAGTACTGCCAGCCCAGGGTCAAGCCTCAGCGGCTTTGGGGCTCCCCCCAACTCTTCTTTCTGCTCATCGAGAGGAGTGGAGAAGGAAGAGACGTGACAGTTTGTCCCATGCTGCACTAGGACCCTCCGGCCATTGATTTGCTGCCCCGGGGCCCCACTCACCTCTATTTTCATGACAGTGAAGTCGGGGATGGGCGGGTCGTAGAGGTAGAGACACGGATCCAGGCGGCTCTGGGTGGGGGCAAAGACCTTGGCGCTGCTGGGCGCGGGCGTGTAGTTCAGCATCTCACACAGAGTGAGCACGTCGATGAACTTGGGCGTCAGGCCGGCCCGCACGGTGTTGTCGGAACAGGCCATGCACTCGATGCAGTCTGGGGAGCAAGGAACGCGGCGTCAGTGCAAGGTGGGACCCTCCTGGTCACAGCGCGTTGCTTGGGAAGCCAGGAGTCTGAACTCAGCTCCAGGAACGAGGAACATCCCCGTCCCTTCGCTGTGGGAGACAATGGCCGCTGGGCTCAGGGAAACGGGCCACCCCCTCCTCTCAAACGCACTGAGTCAGAGCACACATCCTCCCCACACCCAGCTGCTGGCCATGCCCGGCTCCCCCTCCTCCCCCGCTCACCTCCATACAGGTAGGCATGAGGCTCGTTGGCCCCCAGGAACATGGCCTCTCCTGGCTGCAGCATCACCAAGTTCAGGAAGTAAATGGCAAAGCAGCCGATGTCTCCCGGGAACTGCGAGTGCAGCTGCAGCAAGAGCTTCCCGCTGCTCTCCGAGGCGTCCTTCCCTTCAGCAGCTGTGGCAGACAGAGCCCCGGGGCGAAGCCAGGTCAGCAGCAGCCCCACAACATAGCCCCTGTAGCGAGACCCACTGCTTCGCTGCCAGCCAGGGTCAGGAGTCAGTGGCCTGGGGTCCCCCCAGCCCTCCAATCAGGAGGCAGGAGGGCAGAGTGGGCCTGGGCAGTTCCCGCTGCACTTCTGAGATGGGACGAGCCAGGGATCCACCCTGCCTAGGTGGGTTATGGGCCTCACACAGATCCAGCCACTTCCAGAGACACAGGGCCCCACAGCACCAGGCTCTGCTCTGCAGGAGGGATGTGGGGCTGGCTGGCTTTCCCCACACCCCTCCCTGGGATAGAGGATCAGGCCAAAGGAACCACCAGACTATCTAGCCTGCCCTCCATCCAACTCCCCCCTCACAGCAAACCCCGTCACTCAGTGGAGAGAGCCTGCTAGTGGCCTCCTCTCCCACAGGGGCACCTCCTGGACAGCAGAAATTCTTATTCCCTCTCCCTCCAGAGC